TTCCGCTTTCTTTCTCCTAGTCCATCCCAGACCCTCCAAAGGCCCCTCCAGGGAAAGTTTATCTCCGCAGCCTCCTTTTCAAGACTCGTATGCCCTTCTGCAGTCTAGGCATTCAGTGTTTCTCTACTCAGTTGTTTCTGAAGAGAGCTTCTGCCATTTTTGTTTCTCTTATTCTGTCCCCTCTGTTTTTCCCTCACTTCTCTGCACAGGAAAATTCTACTCAACCACTAAGCTTCAGATCATCTATTGCTTTCTTGGAAGCCTTCCTTGATCTCATTCAAAAATAAAACTGAACAAACAAACTCACTTCTGCATTGCCACTGAATCTTCTCTAGTCCACAGGGAAGCTCATTTGTTTTGTTCTCCATAGTATACAAAAAGCTTAGTCAGGTGCTACCACATCAGTGCCATTCAGTAAATATTTGTTAACTAATGGTTGTATTCTTCTTTGGGTTTCTGGCTTTCATCTTCCTCCCCAGCTGGGCTACAGGAAAGGCCTCCTCTAATCTACCACCATAGTTATTAAGGTCTTTCTGAAGGGTGGCCAGGCTCCTGGGCTTCCAAACCTGAGTACTCTAATCCACATTTAAACAAAAGGACACAAGTGGGGATTAAGATGGTAATCACAGCACAGTGATAACCTGCTGGCGTGAGGAGCCTCGATGAAATCCCCAGGGAAAGCCCACAAAGGCAAGAGGTACATGGAGGCTAAGTACCTGAATTCTTCCAGTCCTAGAGAGCTGCTGGGGCTGATATCAGTGTGTCCCAACACTCTCATTTTATATGTGCTGGAGCAGAAGCCTAAGGAGGCTGCCAAGATCACTCAGCAAATCAGGACAGGGCTAAGAAAGAAACCCAGGGCTGTCCATCTCAGGCCAAAATACTCCCATTTCCACCAACCTGTGGAGTTTTTCAAGTGTGGTTAGAGCCTGTGTATGTTTTATTTCATGAATAGAGATTTCCTAGGAGTGGAATTAATAAGACTTTGAAATGAGCACATGTCTTTGAACTTCCAGAAGCAAAGTCACAGACAGAGAAAATTATGTGTGTGTGTGTGTGTGTGTGTGTGTGTGTGTGTGTGTGGTGGGGGGATGATGATGAAGAAGGAAGAAAGAGAGAGAGAAACACTGAGAAGAAGATAGAGAGAACCAGAGACAGATAAAAAACAATAAAAAATGATCAACGTCTAAGAAAGAACCAGAAAGAAATGGACAGCATACTAGAAGAAACAGAGGATGAAAACAAAACAGCAATAACAGAACCTCTGCCTCCCTCTTCTTCCCTCTGTAGGCCCCTGGGAAATGCGTCAGAGATGGGTGCAGTTGTTGGCCCTTTGGGTCTCTGAGACCCATAGCACTTTGGAGCCTTTGTCCTAAGACCTCTCCATTGGGTGCTGGGACTTCAGCCTTTCTAGGCTGTATATGGACTGCAGCAGCTATGTTAGCAGGGAATGGGACTTTTGTGAAAAGTGTTGTGGTTGAGCTGGGTTCCTGGAGCAGCACAAAGAGCTCAGAAAGGTCTGGCTATTAGGAACTCTGGCCCTAGCCTGAGGTCTGGCAGGCCTCAATTGGGCTTTGGTGAGGAGGGGTATGGGAGGCTTTCACTTCAGAGTTTGGATCAGCTAGTTCCCTAGGCTCTTCTGGCTTTACACTCCTCACAGTCTGAGCCCACTGAACTAAGGAGAAAGGTTCTCATCACTTCTTACAGTCACATCCCCATCACTATTTTGGGATGGTGTCTACCATTAAAGATGTAAATAGAAGCTGGATACCTGTGGCTCATGCCTGTAATCCTAGCTACTCAGAAAGCTCTGAGGATAGAAGTTCAAAGTCAGCCTAGGTAGAAAGTCTGCAAGACTCTTATCTCTAAACAATGCCTCAAATCTGGAATGGGGCTGTGGCTCAAGTGGTAGAGCATTAGTTTGAACAAAAAGAATCTCAAGACAGCACCCATGCCCTAAGTTCAAGCCCAAAGACTGGCACCAAAAAATAAAAAATAAAAAAGATAGAGAGAGATTAATTGTAGATAGATTAATTGTAGATTATTAATTGTAATAATTGATAGAGGAGATTAATTGTACCTACCAATTCCTCCAGCAGAGAGTTCTTTTGATGTGAATGCTAAGGCAGGGACTATCAGAGCAAGAGAGGTGCCAGATGCATCTTTTCTAATTTCCCCATTGTATTGATGGGGAGAAAGGCACAGAAAGTCGGGGCAGGAACTAGTGTATAGTATAGACTTGGTTTCTGCTAGCTTCCAGCCCTAAGTGCTGAATGCTGAACGGCAGGGAAGGAAGTTAGGAGGACTGGAATAAAGTTTCTTAGGCAACATGGAGAACAGCCAAGACCTCAAAAGCATACCTAGGATCTGGACTGCTTCTCCCTTCTCTTTCCCCATTTTAAATTGAGTTCCTTCTAGGGACTGCTTGGCAGCTCACCCCTTGGCCCCTGAGAGGCAGCTGATGCCCACTTGCCTTCATTTATCAGGAACCTAGATTTCTAGCTCCTCTGGCTCAAAGTTCTGCCAACTGTCTGGGTATAATCTTACAGGAGGCTATTCCAAGATTGGGTTTTGGGGGTGCTAGAGAGTAGCTAAAGAAGGTAATAAACAGGAATCTTTGGAAAAAGGAAAGCTATATTCAAATGGCAAAGTTCAGAAATCCAGAATGATCTTACCTGGACATAAATCACTAAATGGTAGAACTGACTTCCTTTCATGGATATTTTGAGGTTGTTTTTTGTTTTTTGTTTTTGTAAAGTCATTTCTTTCTTTCGTTTTTTTTTTGTAGATCATGGGGCTTGAACTCTGGGCCTGGGCACTGTCCCTCAGCTCCTCAGCTTAAGGCTAGTGCTCTACCACTTGAGCCACAGCGCCACTTCCGGTTTTCTGAGTGGTTGATTGGAAATAAGAGTCTCACAGACTTTTCCTGCCCGAGTTGGCGTTGAACTGTGATCCTCAGATCTCAGCCTCCTGAGTAGCTAGGATTACAGGCGTGAGCCACCGCCGCCCAGCTAAAGTCATTTCTTTACTTAATGATTCATACATGCATTTACTCCCTCATGTAACAAACCAACCAATCAACCATTGTGGTATTGTGGTCATTAGTGGTGATGGTGGTGGTAGTGATGGCAGTGATGGTAGAGATGGTAGGGGTAGGCAAGCAGTGTTGGCATTGTTGCTATGGGGTACTTGTGCTGATGTGTGCAGGTGGTAGTAGTGGTGGTAATCTTAGGTGTTGGATGGTGCTGAGTGGTGTGTGTTTTTGTTGTGGTAGTGAAGGTTGCAGTGCTGTCGTTGATAGGAATACCAATGGCAGTGCCAATTCGCATAGTGGTGATTGTGTGGATTTTTGCTGCAGGGGCTTAAGAAGCTTTTCTTGACCCCCAAAGAATAGGTAGCCACAAAAAAAATGAAGTCTCCATAAAATTGACAGATTTATTACCTTATATTTATATTAACTGATAATTAAGTAGTGCCAAACAACACAGAAAAATACAAAGGGGGGGCGGGGAAACTTAAGCTAACTCAAATCTTACTTTGCAGAAAGATGGGGAGGAACAGTTTCTGTACTCAGAGATAGATGTTGGGAGGTTTCTTACTTGAGGTATCATAGAGTGCGGACAGTTCCCTGACCTGGAAGGGAATGGAAAGTAGCTTTCTAAGTGAGTACCATTCTTCTACCCATTTATATTTGTATATCAGTCAAGTTGCATGGTCTGCCCAAGATCATACAGGTCATAAGTAGCTGAGTTGGGTTCTCAAACAGATCTAATACTCAGCTTAGGACTTCCCACACTTGGAACCTCAGCTGCCACAGCTCATTTCCTAGCTATGACCTCCCTGTCATCTTGCTTTTCTACCTTGTAGACACTTCATGGCCCAGAAAAACTGCTCCTTTAAAAGCTGGTTGCTTTGGAACCTTTTACAAGTTCTTTCTTCCATTGATTTGTTGTTGTTGTTGTTGTTTAGTGTAGCTCCATGGGGGACTTTTAGGTATGACGCAGGGGAGGTTGGGAGGGGAACTAGTGCTGGAAAGCACAGTGGGAGAACAGAGAGCAGGCAGTGAGGTCATCGCCAGGTCAGGCCCCTTCATCCTCGTTGCTATGGAAATGCAGCTCTGGCATATTATGGAGGGTATCTCCTATTTCCCACCCGCCTATGAGGCCCTCAGCAGGACTGACCATAAAGGATGCTTTCCAGATCTCTCTGGAGTATAAAAGAAAATAGTTACAACCCTGTTTAGCATCTGCACATACCTGCAAAATGCAAGCCAGAATCCAGCTTCTTCTCTGCCTGATATCTCATCAGGATCACAGCGCTCCGGCCACACCAGCGCTTAGCTATGCTCAAGCAGCAAGTGTAATCCAGCCTCCACTCCTGCCCTTGGCCCTGCACTGCTCCCTGCTTGAACATCCTCCTACACATCCAATCAGCCTGCCCCCTCATGTCCTTCAGCCTTTGCTCAAAGGTCACCCCCACTCCCAGAAAGGTCTCCCTTGACTGCCTAGCTGAGATCTCCTCCTGTCTTCTCACTCTGCTTAAATTTCCTTCATGGCATTGATCATTACCTGATGTCAAAGTATAATTTCCAAAGAGTCAAAAAACATGACTCTCAGACAAGCATCTAGTGGCTATGCCAGTGATTTATTCAGTTCATTAGTGAAGGGTTCAGCAAGATGACAGAGCTGGCTCTAAGGGGCTAAAAGACGCTGCTACACGTAATCAATGAGGAAGGAGTGCTGGGTAAAGATTGCTAAACCACACACCAAATTGGTTAATGTCCTATAGGATAATAAAACTGCAACCTTCAGGGTTATCTTGTCTTCCAGACAGAAATCGTTGGCATCTTCGCTGGACAAAAATCACTTGCGGCTTATCAATCTTCTTTAAGCTATCAGTTCACTTCAGAGTCAGAGCCCTAATCAATGGTAAATAGTAAGTCAACAGAGTCACTGTCCTGGAACACCATTGTCCAAAGAACTTTCCCTAAGGGAGAAAACATTCTCTCTGCTCAGCTCAGCTACAAGTGCAGCTCTTGAAATGTGGTTGTTGTAACTGAGAGACAGAATTTTGTATCATGTAATATATTGTGTACATATCAATTGGGTATATTAATGTGCTATATCAATAACTTAAAATTGCATACATATACATTATAGTAATATAAATATACAGTTTATTATAGTAAATGTATCTAATTGGCTTAATTAAGGTAAAGTTAATATGCTAACTTAAATGGACAATTGTATAGTGGCCACCATATTTGACAGTCTAGTTGGAGAAAGTCAGATGATAATTAGGCAGCTCCTTAGATGATTGCTGAGGTGTGAGGGCCTTATTTTCATGTATTGAACAATTTCTTTTAATGCTGATACTTCATATATGTATCTGTATATTGTGTGTGTGTGTGCATGTGTGTGTGTGTGTGTGTGTGTGTGTGTGTGTGTGTGTATGTATGTGTGTTGGTAGTGGGGCTGGAACCGAAGTCCTGGATGCTGTCCTGAGTTTTTTCTCTCAAGGCTGGTACTCTACCACTTGAGCCACAGCTCCACTTATGGCTTTTTGGTGATTCACTGGAGGAATGAATCTCATAGCCTTTACTGCCAGGGCTGGCTTTGAACAGATTCTCAGATCTCAGCCTCCTGAATAGCAAGATTACAGGAGTGAAACACCAGCATCCAGCTTCTGACCTCATATGATGTATGTATTTGCTTGTCATGCTTTGTCTCTACTAGAAAGAAAGCCTTCGGCAAGCCCAGTCTTGGCTTTGGGCTTCAGGTCTACCAGCAACTAGGAGGGTTGCCCAGCAGGTGCACAATCAATAATAGTTGAATGAGTAAATAAACATAAAGTGGCCAGTCTTATCAGAAACAAAGCAGTAAGAGACTCCCTGTGGTAAATCTGGTGAGCTTCAGTAGGAGAGATGTCTGTTGCTTAGTTTCAAATGTTTTTCTTATTCAGTAGAGTGCTTTCCTGCTGTTAACCTCAGCCTTTCCCTGGCGCTTGGGCTGTAGCTAATGATTCTTGGGATGGGGGGGCGGGAAACGGTGGTCTTTGGAGCAGGAGTGAGTGGGGAGTTGTGGTTTATGGGTGGTGGTAAAGCCCTGGATATAAGGAAGACTGAAGTCCTTGTTGAGAGACAGTCAGGGTGGGCAGAGGATTCCCCAGAAGAAGAAACCCTTAAGTTGTGGGGGAGTCCTCAATGGACCCTCCTCCCCCCAGTAGTTAAGGATGGACTGCAGTTATCCACTTGGATAGTGGAATAGTTAGGGTAGGGCTGAGATCTGTAGGTTTGGACTTGAGAAGTCCCAGGACAGGGCGCTGGTTTTAGGAAAGGGGGTCTAAGCCATGGACCCCCTCCTCATCTCTCTAGTAGAGAGTAGGTAAGGCTGAGATCACTTGCTAATACTCCTCCCTGATCTTGGCCTAGGAGGAGCTAGGTAGGGGTTATTTCCTAAGGGAATGTATCCTGATCTGCTAAATGACCTGGAAGTTCTAAGCCCTGAGAAGACCGGAGGTAAGAGGACAACTTTATTTTCCATGTCCCTTCTGGGGCCTGCTGATTCTTCTCTTGGCCCAGCCCAATTCCTACATCTATAGCACAGAACAGGCTGTGCCTTCCCCTGGGACAGGACAGAGTAACTTCTTCCCATGTCCATTTGTGCACTTCTGGGCTGAAGAAAAGTTGTGGCCTGCCTCTGAGGGATGGGAATGGTGGCAGAGTTGGCACTGGGAAATGACCCAGGTTTTGTCCTCTAGGTATCATGATGTCTGTAGAGTGTAATTTGAGTGAAAGGGACTTGTTTGAGTCCTTACATGGTGGTACATACCTGTAATCTCAGTGGCACAGGAAGCAGAAGAATCACTAGGTAAAAAAACTATGTGAGGAATAACTAAAAGCAAAAAGGCTGGCTGCATGGCTTAGGTGGTAGAGCATCTTCTTAGCAAGTTCAAGGCCCTGAGTTTATTCCCAGTGCAGTGGCTCCCAGAAAGTAGAAAGTCAGAGACTACCATAGCGGAATGCTCTCACCCTTCATTATGCAGAGGACAGCCCTGGGCCTGGAGAGGGAAAAGAATTGCCCTTGGATACTGAACAATGGCAGAACCGGCTTCTGAACTCTTCCTCCAGCCATGGATGCTTCTCCACCCCTCTCCCCATCCCAAAGCCTCCCTAAAAGGCATCTGTTCTTAGTGCTTGTTCCCTGAGTCCATCCTGTCCCATCCTTCACCACTAAAGAAGGCTAAGATGAAATGGGTCAGGGGCAGAGGTATTGGGGTTCAATGAGATAGCTCTTCATGGTTCAGAGACCCTATCAATGAGGTCTTCATCTCTGGGAGTTACCTCCATTATCACTGTGGTATCTGAAGGGGTGTGTTGGGCATTGGTTGGTGTCTCTGCAGTGGGTCACCCATCACGAAAGTGTGTGCCATACAATCCTATCTAACCCCTGGGAATTCCCCTGTCCCTCTGTTAAGTGTAACAGAGCAAGTGGAAAGACACTAAAAAACTGCCTATCCTCCCCTTTACCAGCTGGAGAAAGAGAGGTCCAGTGAGTGCAAAGAGCCTGCATTCGGCCATGAGGTCAGTCAAGAAGGAGCTACGTGGATGCAGGGGAGCAGAAGGCCCAGAAAGAAAGGGGAGACAAACGTGGTCAGACTTGTCCTGGTCTACCTTCAGAGTTGAGAACTGTGTCTTCCACCAAGTTCTTTCCTATTAAACACAATCTCCTCATTCTTGTTCCTTGTCCCCCACAAGGACCGTTTTCCTGTCACCATTTCTCCATGAAGCTATTGTAGGTAACTTATAAAAATGGAATCTATACAGTACTTGTCTTTTTGTGACTGGCATATTTAATTTAGCCTAATGTCCTCAAACCTCATCCACATTGTAGTATATGACAGGATTTCCTTCCTTATTAAGTGTGAATAATATTCCATTGTATGTACATGCCACATCTGGCAAATCTATTCGTCCATCAATAGCATTTGGCTTTTTCTACCTTTTGGCTATTGTGAATAGTGCTGCTATAAGTGTGGGTGTATAAATATATCTTTGAGATTCTGCTTTAATTCTTATGAATATACCCAGAGGTAGAACTGTCAATAGCTGGTAATTTTATTTAATGTTTTGAAGGATTTACTCCATTGTTTTCTGTAGCAGCTATATCGTTTTACGCTTTTTCTAACAGTGCACCAGGGTTCCAATGTCTTCAAATCCTTATTAACACTTGCAATTTTCTATTTCTTTGACAGCAGCCATCTTAATGAATGTGAAGTTTTGTTTTATATTTGCGCCAGTGCTAAGACTTGAACTCAGGGCTTGGGTGCTGTCTTTTAGCTTTATTTTGTTCAAGGCTGGTGCTCTTCCACTAGAGTCACACCCGTACTTCTGGCTTTTTGTTGGTTCATTGGAGGTAAGAGTTTCACAAATTTTCCTGCCTCGGCTGGCTTCAATCTTGCCTCCTGAGTATTTAGGTCTGTAGGCATGAGTCACAGGGTCTCAGAGATAGTTCTTGAATCTAGTCTTGTGATAGAGACAGAGATGAGTCAGCCTGGCTCTTGCCAGGCTGAAGGAGAAGCAGAAGGGGAAGCAGAAGAAGGAGAAGGAGAATCAGAAGCACAAGGAGAAGCAGAAGCAGAAGGAGAAGCAGAAAGAGAAGCAGGAGAAGCAGGAGAAGCAGAAGCAGGAGAAGCAGAAACAGAAGAAGCAGAAGCAGAAGCAGAAGGAGAAGCAGGAGAAGCAGAAGAAGCAGAAGCTGGAGAAGTAGAAGCAGAAGAAACAGAAGAAGCAGAAGAAGTAGAAGCAGAAGCAGAAGGAGAAGCAGAAGCAGAAAGGGAAGCAGAAGCAAAAGGAGAAGCAGAAGGAGAAGCAGGAGAAGCAGAAGAAGCTGAAGCAGGAGAAGCATAAGCAGAAGAAACAGAAGAAGTTCTTGAATCTAGTCTTGTGATAGAGACAGAGATGAGTCAACCTGGCTCTTGCACAAGAAGAGGAGAACAGAGGTGGGAAGAGGCTGTGACAGTCACTTTGAAAAGCAATGTGGAGAGAAGCATCCTTTACGAAGGAGCTTAGAAGAAGGAGACATGGATGAAGTAAGCTTCCATAGATCCAGCAACCTTTGAGAAGAGGAGTTGGGTGACTCCCATATGAAAGCAAACCAAAGACAGAATGTTCTCAGAGTCCTCAGAGGCACAGGTATTGGGAGAAGACAGCATTTCCTTTCACCTGGAAAGAAGGTTGTAGCAAGGCCACCAGATGGAGTAAAATCTGAGCAACCACTTGGGCAGAATAGGAGCTGAGATGAGAAGGCAATAGAAGGCCCAAGGAAGAGTGAGTGCAGTCCCAGGGGCAGGAATGTGTGCAGTTTGACCAGGGAATGGCAGATGACCCAGGGTGACAGGGCCTTTGGGTTCTTGGGGAGTGGAGTGGTGGGATTGGTAGTAGGCAGTGATTGACAGACAGGGTGCTTTCTATGGCAGCATCAGGACTGTCCCTGGCTGAAAGTGTTGGGGTTCAGAAAAGTGAAATCTAATGTGCATGGACTCATGAGTGATGCTTTCTGTGCTACCCAGGTGCGAGGAAGTCTAACCTTTCAGAAAGAAGTTGCTTCCGGGAATGTTATGCAGCCTGTTAGGAGATCCTCAATCTTTCTAGTGATGCCATTTAACCCAGTTTCCTAGGGCTTGCACAACTGAATATTTGATGTTTTAAAAAATTGAATTGGAAAATCTCAAACAAGGGAGAGAAAGCTATTGTTCCGAGCTTTCTGTTGGCTCAGTGTTAGCTGCATGTGTAATGACCCAAGAGGCCGGGAAGAGACACAGAGAGAAGAGCAGGTTGGCCGGGGGTGGGGTAGATGCAGAACTGGGGCTCAGGTTCAGGGTGGTTTTTGCATGGAGATATCCAGCATGTTGTATTTATGAACTTAAAACTTCAAATGCAGGTTTAGGAAAGTGATAGCATTCTTCTGTGGCAATCCCAACTTTACCTGGCACAATTTAGAGGCTCCTATAAATGGGAAGTCCAGGCATGGGGGATACCTGTTTTAGACATGGCTGATCTAGAAGCTCACTGATGGTAAATGATGTAG